ACGCGGATACACGCACGTACACGCCGGGTACGACGCGGGTACACGCACGTACACGCACGGTACACGCAGGTACACGCACGTACACGCGTGTACCCGCGTGTACGTACGTGTACGTGCGTGTACCTGCGTGTACGTGCGCGTACTTGCGTGTACGTGCGTGTATATCTGCGTGTACGTGCGTGTACCCGCGTGTACGTGCGTGTACCCCCTCTGTGCGTGCCTGCCATTGTTTACAAAATTGCCTAGCTTAGCCTCGTTTTCGTGCGATGACCCCAGGTCATGAATAATATTTAAGACTGGCGTCAACCAGAAACTGTGCATGCGCCAAAATGACGTAGTTTGTTTACCAACTTGAACGCCCCTTATTTGCCTCGAGGACCCAAGCATTGAATGTCAAACGGTATTTCATTGGTCACATTGTAAACATGATGAAAGCTAAGTGCTAATTCGCTGTACATAAAGTCGCAGTTTACATTTCGCATCTCGCATTTCGCATTTCGCATCTCGCATTTCGCATCTCGCATTTCGCATTTCGCATTTCGCATCTCGCATTTCGCATCTCGCATTTCGCATTTCGCATTTCTCATGAGCCTTCTGGGCTTTCGTACGCACACGCTTACGAGCATGCGCACGCGCGCACACACACCGCGTACACGCACACGTGTGCACGGCCACACATGTAGAAGCTGGGTTAAGCCCCACGTTTGGCAGATGTAACAGTCGTGTGCTGATAATCACACCCTAATGATGGCGGCAGTAGAAGCACCAGCAGCAGCTGCAGCAGCACCACCACCACTACCAGCAGCACAGCAGCAGCACCACCACCAGCAGCAGCAGCCGCAGCAGCAGCAGCCGCAGCCGCAGCAGCCGCAGCAGCAGCAGCAGCAGCAGCAGCAGCAGTAACACCAGCAGCACCACCACCACCAGCAGCAGCAGCACCAGCAGCAGCACCACCACCGCTACCAGCCCCACCGCTACCACCACCACCACCAGCAGCAGTACCACCACCAGCAGCAGCACCACCACCGCTACCAGCACCACCGCTACCACCACCACCACCACCACCACCACCAGCAGCAGCAGCAGCAGCAGCAGCAGCCGATAATACTCGAGTGGCAACACACGCGACTGGAATAAAACCGCGTTTGTAGTTAATTATACGTATACAACGTAACGGTTCTGTGTACGCTGGCGTGAGAGAGCGCGGCGATGTTGTTGTAAGGTATTAGACACCCGCGCGCCTGAAGACAAATCAATGCTGACGCAATGTTAGTCAGAGCACGAGCTGGCCTAGTGGTTTCTTAATCCCCGCTCCCACACAATACCCGACGAGACCGCTTCCATGACAGCATCTTCTCAACTCTGCGCCACGCTCATCTGAATATCAAGTAGATTATAATTGCTTTGGTTGATTTTGTTAAAGTGCATTGGTTTTGTTTTTACGTCGAGAGGATTAAACAGCTAACGCCTATGGACGTTATTTAGAAATTGACATTTGCAATATCGTTTAACTGTATAATCGCAAAAGTCCAACGCTACACACATATTTATTAACAGTGTATTATCAAAATAATAAATATATATGCGTATATATATATATATATATATATATATATATATATATAAGTGTGTGTGTGTGTGTGTGTGTGTGTGTGTGTGTGTGTGTGTGTGTGTGTGTAGTGTGTGTGTGTGTGTGTGTGTGTGTGTGTG